GAAATATTATATATAGATGAAATCTTAAAACACACATTACCATTTATTTTGAAAGTATAACCTGGAAATTGCCCTGAAATTATTCTTACATATAAAAGACTTGGTTTAGAAGTCTCGAGGCAAGTAAAGCATTATCTTTTTAATATAATTGTTATTCTTCACTTTATCTTGTTAACATATTCTTCTCACAAGTTCACTTCGAAATTTATTTTAATACATCTATTATAAAAAGAAGGTGATAATTAAACGTATTTGGTCTATGTTAATTTTGAATACAAATTAATCTAAGTTGTGGGTGTGGCTTCAAAACTCGATTATCATCACCAAATTCATTAATAAAGAGAAGAGAGTCATCTTCTCCTAAAGAATTTAATCTTTCTATAATTTCTGTTTTTGCCTGGTTGATATTATCTAATATTAGCCAATAACATATTTTTTAAATTCCTTCAAATGTTTCATTTTAGGTGATTTTTATTTTTCGTATTATTTTTGTTTATCTTTTTTATTATTTGTAAACTAATCAAATATTCATCAATAATTTCATTATTTTGATTTATAAGGGAAAAATTTCCTAACAAATCATCTATTTCTAAATCATCATGAATTGACACTAGAAGGCATTTCTAATTCATTAAAGATGCTAACTTTAAAACTGTTGTTGTTTTACAAGTACAATAATCCCCTTAACACAGAATTATTCTCTTGCTTAAAATTGAAATAATTAATTTTTTTTTTCTAAAATTATTGAATTCTTAAAATTTATGTAAAAATAATTGAATGAAATTTAGGTGTTGTTCTTGAAAATTTTTCCAAAGTTAAATTAACTGTGAATTTATTATTTTAATATCATTGAAATAAACCATTTTAGCCAATTTAAGCAATAAAAATTTTCCTTGAATTCTATTGTTTTATGGTTATTTGATACTTTTGTAAGATGTTTTTGTACAATAAATCTCTTAGTACTTTATGCTCAAAAGGGTTGCAATAAATTATTTCTAAGCAAACTATAATTAACTCAGCTTTAACTTATTCATCTTATATATGCCTCAAAAAGCTGTAAAAATTAGTTATTAAATAGAGCAAATAAATTCGATAAAGCTCTTTTTTATCTAGGAAAAATTTTTCTGAGATTTATTGGGATTCCTTGTGGAGCTAAAGAATCTATCTTCTACTTTTCAATAGTATCTATTTATGCACTGTAACTTTTCTTAAAATTATCTATGGTTTAATCTAAGTCAAATTGTTTAATATTATAATTAGTAATTTAATTTTGTATAAAAATGGTAATTCCGCTCTTCCTTAAAATGTTGAAAGATTAATTGCATTTAAATACACAATTTTCTTTTTTTAAATTGAAATCTCTAACTTTTAATGATTTTTCATCATAATTAAACAAACTTTAAAGTGTGCTTAAAACTTCTTGCGACGTTAAATTTACCTCATCAAACAATATTAAACTATTTTCTTTAAATGCCTTAGCTAAATATCCTTCTTAAAATACAAAAGTTAATCCTGATTTATTTGTTTGTGGAGCATAAGACCTGAGAAGATCCTCAATACTGAAATTATCTGAACAACATATCCTACAAAATTGTTTTTTTAACAATTTTAGCTATTTCTTATGTTAAAGCGCTCTTGTCAACTCCAAGTGGCCCAATTAAACAAGGAATATATTTAGTATTGAAAGCTGCAAAAATTCTTGATATTATTTGATTTGATTACTAATTTAACACTAATTTTGAATTCGATCCAATCTAACATCTAATCTCTTAATCTAACAATTATCTTGCTTTATTAAATATTGCCAATACTTTCTCATCTACAATATTATCTGAAAATTAAAGTTTAATTGGATCTAATAAAACATATTAAGTTCCTAAACTTAATTTTTCAAGTTCCGATGTATTTTTTAGAACCCAATCCAAAAAACTAATCATTAATAAAAAGATTTATAGGTTCAATTTTAAAAATTAATATGTTTTTTTGATTTAAATGTAGTCAAAAATTTTGTTATAAATTCTATTATTTTATTATTCTACAGATTTTACTTTCTGTCGAAAATAATTTATGAATGTTGATTACAATTCATTTTTATTATTCAATAAAATACATTCTTCAATAACTATCTTTGTAAAACGAGATTTTAGGCTTCACTTAAATAACCTCCACTAGCTGAGTTTGTAGATGCAATAATAAAGAATTAGTTAGTATTGATTATTTTTCTTCTATTAACAATAAAATTTCTGTTTTCCTCCAAAAGGGAATTTAAACCTTCAAGAACAGATTGATCAGCTAAATTTATGTTTTTTAAATAAATAATTTCTCCAAAACTTTAATTGAAAGGTATGCCTCTTTCAATAAAAGGAAATTTATTTCCATAATTTTTAATAATTCTGTTAAAGAATTGTTATTAATTTGGAAGTTCTTTTTATAATTTGCTAAAATGTTCTTTAACTGATTTTTCATTCAATTTGTCGAAATTTTAAATTTTAAGTTTTTCTAGAATGCCTTTACAATATCGTAAATAAGATTCATGGTTATTCTATGCCCCCAATTAAATCCTAAATTTCTGATGTGTTAGTTATAGATATAGAAATTGTCTCTAATGGTTAAATAACATTAAAGTCAATCATTTTTGAAAACAATGACACTAAATGAAATTTATAAGTTGTTGGTCCTTCAAGCAAAACATTTTTTTGAAAGTAAAAACAATGTGCTATTTTACACAAAACAAGAGTTGCTTCAGGTGATAAGTTATTTATTTCTTTTTATTGGAACTATTTATAATTTTATTAAATATTACAAAATTTCATGAATGATGACAATAAATTTATTTCTATTAAAATTATTTGGATTACTTAAGTTTTATTTCAATTTTAATTTTCTATAATTAAAATACATTGATTCTCTTTTGATTCGTCATCAATCTATATTATTTCTTATAATTCTTTTTATTCAGCCTCATTTAATGGAAATAATATTTTTTGATGAAGTTTTACTAAATGTTTCCCATTTTGGTTTTAAAAACTAATTTATTGTTTTTATATTCTATTCTTAAATTTAAGAAATTATCTCATAGCCAAACATGAAGATGTTTATTTTTTTTGATTTATTCACAGTATTTTCATTATCAACAAAATTTTGGTTTTATAGATTATTATCCTTATGCATGAATTTTAATTGTATTTAACTTAAGAGCCCCAATTTTGGGATTTTAGTAAAATTTAAATTCTTATTATTAACTCCTTAAATAAAAAATTTATTATTTGGACAATAGATTAAATCTTATGGAAGAAAAGAAAATATTCGACTTCAGGAATGTAATTTATTTAATACTCTCAAGGAGTTATTTACATTAACAAGAATCCAAAAATTTGGAACCCCAACACAAATTAAAATGTATATGTTTACATAATTATACATTTTGTATGATTTTTTTTTTAATTAAGAAAAAATAAAATCAGAATTTTTGGATTTAGCACAGAATAAATACATGTTAAATCTCAAAATGCAAGATAGCTGTATGATTAATTAAAGTATTAAATCACTCAAATTTTGATTTTAATAGAAAAGGAAAAATATAATAAAGTAACAAATTTAGGGATCTTAAATTAAATCAAAATTAATTGGAATTCCAATATAAATTAAATTTTACTAAAATTCTCAAAATCATGGAATATTTGTGGATATCGATATAAATATTAAAATCTCAAATTAAGGTATTTTTGTAAA